GGTCAACCACCTGTAAAAGAATGAAACTAGAACACTTTCTAACACCATACACAAAAATAAACTCAAAATGGATTAAAGATCTAAATGTAAGACCTAAAGATCACTTTTAAAAATGCTTTATTTATTTATTTATTGGCCTCACTGTACAGAATGTGGGGTCTTATTTCCCCGACCAGAGATTGAACCCATACTCCCTGCATTGGATGCTCAGAGTTTTAACCACTGGACCACTTGGGGAGTCCAGTTTTTTTTTTTTAATCTGAGACAATTCAACATGAATTTTGTGGTAATACAGTCAATGTAGTTTCTTTAAGGTTATTTTTTTTTGTGAAAAAACAGTGAGGGGGTTAAATAATGAACATTCAGAGTTTCCTCCAGAATGAAAGCTCTGTGTGGCTGATTTTGAATGATTACTCTCTTCTTGAACTATCTTCAACTTCGTTTACATTCAGAAAAAGACAGGCTAATTGTATCAGTAGAGTTAGTTAAAGTGTGCTGTGGTAAAAACCTTCTAAATCTCAGTAGTTGATTAGCAAACGTTGTGCGCATGCTGCATTTCCACTCTGGGTCACCAGGGGGCTCTGCACCTTTGTTTCAGCCACATTCTCCCTGTCTCACCCAGAGCCTCAGTCTGGGGACAGAAGGCTGGGATATCCAGCGCTGGCAATTAAAAGCTTCAGCCATAAGATTTCTTATCACTTTATCGTGATCAGAGCTGGTCCTGGGGCCATGCCTAACTTCATTGGGGCCTGGAAGTGAATTCTTCTACATACCCAAAGTTAAAGAGAACTGCATCATGTTGAATATTAGTAATATTTACCACACTAAATCTTTTATAGGATGAAACAGATCTGCTTCAGATTTTCTTTTGGCACGAGTCAGGTTATAGACCCATTAATAGAAAGGTTTCAATGTTTTATTGCTTGATGTTCTTTATCACCTCAATATTTAGTGTTCTGTAGCAGAGATTGGCATACTTTTTCTTTAAAGGGTCAGATAGTAAATATGCTAGGACATAGAACCTCAGTTGCATGTTTTTTCTTCTTCCCTTCACCCTCTCTTCTTTTCTCCTTAAAACAAAAACCGTTTTAGGTGTAGGGTAGGGGTGGGAAGAGGTACATATAAGGAGACGGTGGGCTGTATTTGGCCCAAACAGTATTGGCCCACAGACTGTAATTTGCTGATTGCTGTCCTGTAGGATAGAAATATCCATTTGCTCTACTTAAAAGTACTACAGTTTGACTGTGGACTAAACATACTTCATCCATTGCTTTGGGGTTGAACCAAATGTGCAATGAGTTCTTCCTAGGTAAATACCCAGAACAGTCCACAGGTGAATAACCTTGGACCATTTATTTAACTCTCTCTGAGTTTCAGATTCTCAGCCTATAAAATAATGAGGTGGGATGAGATGATTTCCAGGTTCTTTACTGTTTTGTGAGCTGACCTGGAATTTTCCGGCCACACTTGTGGGAAACTGTACCCTCTGCCTGGCTGAGTCATTTACTTTGAGTCTTGTGGTGGTTTTCTGTCCATTTGTTCCTTCTTCAGTGATTGGCCCTTTGGAGAATCTTTTGATGGGGGAAATGTGTTATTGTTGGTATTTTCTTGCTTGGTGTAATTTGGAGGATTTTATAAAGTGTATTTTATGTAATTCCCCCCCCCCCTTTTCCCCAAGGTTGTCAGCTTTTGTTTTAAGATGTTTCCTTGAAGCTGATCCTTACATAGACATTGATCAGAATGTGTTACACAGAACATATACTTGGCTCAAAGGACATCAGAAATCCAACGGTGAATTTTGGGAGCCAGGAAGAGTGATCCACAGTGAGCTTCAAGGTGGCAATAAAAGTCCTGTAACTCTTACGGCTTATATTGTGACATCTCTCCTGGGATATAAAAAGTATCAGGTATTTAATCTTTAATAAATAATGGGTGGGAAATCACAAGAAAGGTAGGTCTTGATGGGTCAAATACATGTCTGGAAACATAAAGAATTCTGCAATATTCCATCACATTTGAAGTCTTGAATTGGAGTACTCTTCTGCTTTGCATTTGTGGACACATTCTAACAGCTAAGAGTGAAAATATCAACCCACTCTTTTGAGTAAACTAAGAGATTTCTAAAAATGCTTTGTAATATTGTGTTCTTGTTATTGGTAAGATAAGTCAACATATTTTATCATTAGAAAGTTAATTTTTTAGAGGACAGAAAATTCTTCAGAGTTTGGGAATGTGTTCTAGCAAACTTAGATTGTTAAAGATTTTTAAAAAAAATTTCTAAATACCCTAGAGCAATTATAATGTCTAATTTAGTAAAAAGTACAGGTATGTGTGCTAAGTAGCTTCAGTCATGTCTGACTCTTTGTGACTCTGTGGGTTATAACCTGTTAGGCTTCTCTGTCCATGGGATTCTCCAGACAAGAATACTGGAGTGGGTTGCTATGCCCTCCTCCAGGGGATCTCCCCACCCAGGGATCGAACCTGCATGTTTTATGTCTCCTGTATTGGCAAGCGGGTTCTTTACTACTAGTGCTACCTGGGAAGCCCAAGTAAAAAGTACACCCACACTCTGAAAAGCATGTTAAGTGGGCATGGATGTCTGGGTGAGGATGGATGTGCCTGGAAAGTTATGCAAATGAGCTTAATTTTGCTCTAGAGCTGTCTCAGTGATTGATGCCTTTTACTGCTTATTGCCGACTGCAAATGATCGAAAGCAGCCATTCTCAATATTAAGATCCTGCAGTTTTCCTAGCCTAGTACTCGGCATGTAGGATTTAATCTTTCCCCTCAATTTAGAGCTTCAGTACCTTAGATCATATATGTGAAGTATCTTTCTCAGGATACATTTTATGTCCTCTTCTTAGTTCATGATAGTCAGTGGGAGAAACACTGGCAAAAGCACCACTTCTTATGTTTTATTCCCTCTACAGAATGGTGCTTATTTGCTTGTAAAACCTGAAAAATGGTATTATCTTCAAAATACATGGCAGATCTTTAATTGTCAGTGATCAGGGTGATTTCCATTGTCTAGGACAAAGTCAGGTGCTTAATAGGCACTGAAATTGTTTTTGAATGAATGTTTGAAAATACTTTTTATATAAATATGTGTGTGGTGACAGGTTATGTTGAATAGTAAAATGTGTATTCTTTTCTTTCCAGCCTAATATTGATGTGCAAGAGTCTATCAACTTTTTGGAGTCTGAATTCGATAGGGGGATTTCCGACAATTACACCCTGGCACTTGTAACTTACGCTCTGTCATCTGGGAGGAGCCCTAAAGCCAAGGAAGCTTTGGATATGCTGACTTGGAGATCAGAACAAGAAGGTAAAGCGTGTAGCCCCGTGCATTATGAAATGTGTGCATGACATGAGAAAGTTTTGTACACCAGGTATGAAGGTGATTACACTTACATCTGAATGGCTTGAAAATGTGATGCAGGTAAAATCACGAGGGGTTGACATGGTCACCCTGCTGCGACTCTCCCCAAGGGTTTTCTAGAGAGTTTCGTGCTTTGGGTGTTTCCTTCTTTTAGACATGTTCTGCCTTGTGTCTGTTACCCTTCAAGTTGTCTGATGCCATTTCTGGTTTGGTGGCCTTGAGTGATCATTAAGGCTATGGTTTTTGGAAAGACTTGGGCTCAAATTCTGGTTCGGTTACCTTTCTGAGCTTCAGTTTCCTTATCTGTCAGAGGGGAATAACACCTCTTTTAGGACTGGTATGAGGATTAAATGAGGTAATGTGCAGGGCTTACCACGTGTTAAAAAATGTGAATTAAAATGCTAATAGAAATGCAAATGTCATAAATGCCATTAGCAAGCTGTGTGTATGATTTTTTAACAGTTTTGGAATGAGCACTGCTTGTGGGCTACAGTAGGACAAAAAGTACATGTGTTATTACTTCCTGAATGCCCTCTATAGTCAGGGATCCAGGTGTGTGTGTGTGTGTGTGTGTGTGTGTGTGTGTGGTGGAAGAGGATGGGGTGGGCGAAAATAATTTTAGGTGATGTTGACTGATTTTGAATCTCTCTGAATTCAAAACAGGCTAATTATGGAAAGTGCTTTAGAGGCTTCTGAGACTGTAAAAAATATTGTGTTATTATTAGCAATGCGTGTGTCCTCAGTCGTGTCTGACTCTTGGTGACCCCATGGACTGTAGCCCTCCCAGGATTTTCTGTCCATGGGATTTCCCGAGCAAGAATACTGGAGCAGGTTGCCATTTCGTCCTCCAGGGGATCTTCCCAACCCAGGGATTGAACCCAGGTTGTTAGCAGTAATTTAGGTTAAATCCTTATTACCTATTGCAGTGTTGGGGACTAGAAGGTTTATATCATAGAGGCTGAAGTAATCCTTGACATCTCTGCTTCTCTGCTTGGCTAAGTGGTAGTTGTGTTACCTTCCACTCAAATGTAATCATCATCTAAATGGTAATATTTGAGACAAGGGGAAGTGGGTACTAAGTAGGATGTTTCTCCCGGGGGCTAGCAGGACTATCTCTAGGAAGATTGTTGAGCTGGCCAGGGTCTCTCATTTTTTTCTTGGGGTCTTGGAATTTGAACTTATAACACTAACTTTCAGATAATGGAAAAAGGAGTGTTTCCCAGAATGTTAGAGCTGCTTAATGGCAGATTCCCAGAATACGTTTCTTTCCAACGTGTCCGAAAATATTTTGGGATGGTCTGGAATATACTATGATTTTTTAAAAAAATTTATAGCTGTTTAGTCTTGAGCCAGACATATGGAATTTCTCTTGGGAAAATATTTTCATCAAAATGTTCTCAAATATAAGTAATAGGAAAAGGATGAAAATTTATAAATTTAATAAGTTTAAGAAGACTCATGTTTATTTGTGTGTGTGATTATACATATATTTGCTTGGCAGAAATATACACATGTATAGAAATATGTGTATTTTTATGCTAGTCAAGGAGAACTTGGACCAGTGTAGGAATGTTCAGTGGTATCAAGTGTAATTTTTCTGTAATTGGCCGGACTGTTACCACTTTTCTCCTGCAGGAGGCCTGCAATTCTGGGTGTCATCGGTGTCCAGACTGTCTGAATCCTGGCAGCCGAGCTCCCTGGATATTGAAGTTGCAGCCTATGCGCTGCTCTCACACTTCTTGCAGCATCAGGTTCCTGAGGGAATTCCGATTATGAGGTGGCTTAGCAGGCAGAGAAATAGCTTGGGAGGTTTTGCATCTACCCAGGTGAGTGAGGATCGCTTTCAATTTCTTTAGCTATCTACCTATATAAATAACTATATATATGTAAAACTAATTCTGCTCTGCTGTGCTGTCATGCCTGACTCTTTGCAACCCCATGGACCGTAGCCCACCAAGCTCCTGTGTCCATGGGGATTCTCTAGGCAAGAATACTGGAGTGGGGTGCCATGCTCTCCTCCAGGGGATCTTCCCAACCCAGGGATTGAACCCAGGTCTCCTGCACTGTAGGCAGATTCTTTACCATCTGAGCCACAAGGGAAGTCCAAAAATACTGGAGTGGGTAGCCTATCCCTGCTCCAGGGGAACTTCCTGACCCAGGAATTGAACCAGGGTCTCCTGCATTGCAGGCGAATTCTTTACCAGCTGAGCTACCAGGGAAGCCCAAAACTAATTATATAAAAAATTAAATGTACATGTTGTTCAGCTGCTCAGTCATGTCTGACTCTTTGTGACCCCATGGACTGCAGCATGCTAGGCCTCCTTGTCCCTCACTATCTCCTGAAGTATGCCCAAGTTCATGTCCATTGAATCGGTGATGCCATCCAGCCATCTCACCTTCTGCCGCCCTCTTTTCCTTTTGCCTTCGATCTTTCTCAGCATCAGGGTCTTTTCCAGTGGATCGATTCTTCACATCAGGTGGCCAAAGTACTGGAGCTTCAGTGTCAGCATTAATCTTTCCAATGAGTGTTCAGGGTTGATTTCCTTTAGGATTGACTGGTTTTTAGAATGGAATATATATATATATATTTACTAATGTGGTTCCTTTTTTTCATGACTTCATACAATTACATGGCAGTTTAAAAGTTTAGTAACTTTAAAGACTTGTTGTTAATTTTAATTTTTTCCCATCATTGATATAGACATCATATCTGATACTTATATAGGATAAATTAGTTCCCTGTCTTAGTAGCCATTTTCCACCTGTGGTATCTGGTACAGTAGGATCTCAGCTCTAGTCAGCAGATTCTGAGTCTTTCCTGTATCCAGGTCAATCAAATTCAAAGGTGGACCTAGGTGAGCTCCTCACCCAAGAAAGGTGGATGAGTGTGTAGTGGTATCCTAAACATTACTGAAATTTACTCTTTGGAAGCCTTAATATATGCTTATGTGCACAAATCTTTTTATCCCCTCAACAGGACACCATTGTGGCCTTGAAGGCCCTATCTGAATTTGCAGCTTTAATGAATGTAGAAGAGACAAATATCCGAGTGACTGTGGAGGGGCCCAGTTCACTGAGTCCTGTGAAGTTTGTGATTGACACACAGAACCGCTTTCTTCTCCAGATGGCAGAGGTGTGGACAAGGGGGTGGTTATCTGAATATCTGTGTAGGTGATCCCACCTGCTGATGATTTTCTTTCTGTTGACTTCAACAAAGACTTGTTCCCAGAGCTGTGTCCTGACAGGAAGGAGTACCCTCTTGTGGTTGAATTTGCTGAGTGTGGGAAGGGAGAAGGGGATGAGAACTTTGCAAAGATTTGGAAAAGGCGAAAACATGGGTCCTGTCATATTGGGAGATGAATGAACACCCTTTGAGCTCCTCCTCTTTGCAGACCGTGTGCCAGATTTCTTTATGTGTGCTATATTGTATTTACTTTTCAAACCAAGACTAAGAAGCAAGTACTTTTATCCCCACTATACATATTATAGAACTGAGGCTAAGGGCGTTGAAGTAACTTGCCCACCGTCATGTTGCTAGTAACAGTAGAGCTAGAATTTGAACCTGTTGTTTCAAAGACCATGTTCCTTTTGGTTGTACCACATTCCTCTTAGGAGTTGATAGAACCAGCAGTAGAATTTTTTCCTTAAAAATGGGATAATGGACTGTGCTAGACCCTAACTTTATTCCCTTGGCTAACCTTGCAGGAAGTTGAGGGTAATGGAGGAAAGCAGTAACTTCAAGACTAGAACCTGAGGGAGAAGGGGTGATAGCAAAGGAGAAGGAAGGAATAGTGTTGGTCCGGGTCAGTGATTGCATGTCACTGTGTTGAGGAGGAAGGCAGGACTTCTGATTCTTATCTTTCTTGCTTCAGTCCCTACAGAAGGGCTTCCATAGCACTAATGTGCGCTTCCTCTGCCTTCACCCCTCTTGTCTGGTTTACCCATAGCCTTTGACTTGTGGGGCTGTGTAAAGTTCTTTTTTTAAAAAGTTGTGCCCCAAAATACACTTTATTAATCTTGTATCAGTACTGGACTTCTTGCTTTTAATCTCCTACCTTGCCTGATCCAGGTCTAAAGAAAAATACTTGTTTACTGTTTAATATTTGTGGGAGGAGGTAAGGTGAGTGGGGAAGGAAGGAGGATTTTATTGACTTGAAAAATAATTGTGTGACGCCTTCTGTTTACACACAAGATGAAGCAGCAATTTGATTCATGTGTGCTTTTGATTAAACAGGTAGAGGAAAAAACAGAGTCTATTTAGGCATTATGGAGAGTAATTGAACTGTATTTTTATTTATTGAATATGTATTTTTTATTTGTTGAATGATAACATTTCAGGCTACAGAATGCTTAATTTCCATGATGCTAATTAAAACCAGCATATGTGTATCTAAGTGATTTGTCTAGACAAAGAAATAGGCAAGCTGCGATCTATTCTTTTTTATGGAATAATCAGTTCTCTTCAGTTTAAAAAAAAGAAAAAGAAGTGTGTGATCTTAACATTTTGCTTACAACTTGCTAATAATCATTATTATTTTATGGATTCTTGTTTATCTAATTTTCATATGTCCGAAGGTAATTTAAACCATGAACAGAAATTAGTAACGTTTTTGGAGACACTGACCATAATTCAGTATATTTACATACCAATGAAATTATTTGCAGAAAAGTATTTTTAATTGTCAAAACATATATAAGGTATTAATTTTGTCATAATAATTATTTATCATCATCAAAATTGACCTTCATAGTGACCTGTGTAAAATAAGTCCTTTTTTTAAATTAAATTTTTTTAAAGACTTTGTTATTGAAGTATAATTGCTTTGCAGTGTCTCTGCTGTAATGTAATGTAAGTCTCTGCTCTACAACAAAGTGAATTAGCTACATGTGTACATGTATCTCCTCCCTCTTGAGCGTCTCCCCGCACCACTCTCCCTCCTCTAGGTTATCACAGACCTAGCTGGGCTCCCTGAGCTTCCTGCTAGCTATGTATTTTCCATGTAAAGTTGTTAGAGCTTTAGAGTGCAGACAGCTCACACTCCTGATGAGGGAAAACAGTGGTCTGTGCTGGCTGGGAGGGCCTGGATATGGATACTTAGTCATATTTACTTTTTTCCCACTTTTATTCAGCTTGCTGTAGTACAGCCAACTGCAGTGAATATTTCTGCAAATGGTTTTGGATATGCTATTTGTCAGGTATGTAATAATGTTTATTTTTTGTTTTGTTAAATATGACTTGCTATAATAATTCTTTGGTTTGAGGCACTGATAAATCTTGAACTTAGATGACAAATTTTTTAAAGGTTTATTTCTATGACAGCAAAATAAATCACTATCTTTAATAAAAAGTGTTAAAGCAGTTACTAGCTAGTAAGTAGACTAGCAATTATATGAGTTGAAAATGTGTCAGAAGAATATTTCTTGAGTATTAAATACTTTTTGAGGTGAGGGTTAAAATCCTCCAAATGAGTCATTCGAACTGTTGGGAACTCTCACCTTTTTTGTGTGTGAAAATGTAGCTCAGACATAATGCTGGCTAGAGTTTCTATTGTGACTTGATAAATATGTAGCGTTTTACTTACCATTTCTTAATATTCATCTAACAATATGAAGGTCAACATGGTATTATAAGTAATTGACTTGAAGATAGGAAATGTGTCCCTTTGATGTAAAATTTTATATTATTGTAAATAAAACAATTAGAGCATAATATGTTCAGTGCTCTACTATAGGAAGAAAATTCAAAGAAATCTACCCTTTATGGTGTAACTGGGATACAGTTAAATGGAGGTAGTATATAAAATACTGAATGGAAGTTATTTTACTTAATAATACATGAAAATCATGGGGACTTAAAACCTATTTTGCATCCCAATAACATGGTTTTAAGTCCCCATGATTTTTATGTACTACGTACTTGGTTAGAAAAAACAAACCAAACAAACCCTGACAGCTTTACTGAGAAAGTTGTTTAGTTACTAAGTCGTGTCCGACTCTTTTACGACCCCCATGGACTATAGTCTGCCAGGCTCCTCTGTCCATGTGGGATTTCCCAGGGATACTGGAGTGGGTTGCCATTTCCTTCTCCAGGGGATCTTCCCAACCCGGGGATTGAACCCGTGTCTCCTGGTGGACTCTTGGCAGGTGAATTCTTTACCACTGAGCCACCAGGGAAACCCTGAGAAAGTTTTTTAAAAAGACTGTTGTAGAGAAAAGTTACTTTTTCAAAAACCAGTATAACTCTCCTGGTTGAGAGAACAGATGCTTTTGCCAAGACACAATGCTTAGGGCACATGGTCAGGTATAATTTAGAAACTTAAGAATAATGTGAAGATTATTTTGTACAATACTCAAAATACAGTAAATGTTTTCTTTTAAACAGGGAAAAAAAAATCACAATTAAAAGGAACAGTATTCGATGAAAAGGATAGAAAGAGGAAAGAGTAAATAACTTGTATTGCTCTTTACCAACAAAGACCATGTGAAAATACTTATTCTCAAGCTATCTTTTGATGTGAATAATAAATCCAAAAGTAAATACACAGGATATTTTAGATAAGCTTGAAAAATTATATGTATTTAAACCACCAAATTGGTTTGAATTCATTCTTGATAAACCAAATATAATAAATTACTGTATAGGTAAAGTCAAGTGATTTTTATATGAGGTCTAAGGACACAGCAGTAAATTTGGTACCTACTGGTCGGAATGTTCACCAGTTGTTTGTCTGTATCAACATGAAGAAAACAAAAGGTAGGGACCAATAGGTACTTCTTATAATGGAGAAGAAAATGGCAAAAAAGCTGGTTACCCAGAAATAGGTATTGACATTTCCTTTAGTTAATGTTTTTGAAAGTGCTCTGGAAAAAGCAGGGCAAGGAAGACTCTCAGGTTTGCAGTAGTGTTGACCCCTTTTGAGTGATAAAAAGCAAAGCTATTTTTTAGAAATAAACTGCAAGATTTCTTGGATATAAAGACCCAGTTGACTTGAAATCCATCATTTATTTCATCATCTTTGAAAAACATTGTATAATCAAAAAGAAGCCTTAGCAGTTGAATAGGTTTCTCTTCCACCAAGGCTTTTGGATAAAGATATTTTGATTTATCTTACCAATAGTTCCAGTTTGTGAAAAATGACTCCAGCTGGGCAAAAGACCTTAGAAATTAGTGGATGCTTTCAAGAAACTTGGCAATAGTTTATCTTGTTTCCTCATGGGAATGTTTTACAGTATTTGAAAAAAACAATATCTGTGAATATTGTCCACGATGATCTATGAAATTTTGAATATTCCCTAACAATTTTTCTCAATTTTAAAAATCATTGTTTATTTACTTTTATAATTATATTTGTAATAATGATACTTGCTAGCTGGTAAAACTAAAATTTTTTTAGATTGAAAATTACAAATTTAGTTGAGTTTATCCCAGAGAATCATTACTTAATTTTTAGAATATATAATTAAACCAGTTTATTGCTAATGACTTATTACTTATGCTCCTTTGTTATTTATTGCAGCTTAATGTAATTTATAATGTGAAAAATTCCAGATCTTCTAAAAGTCGAAGATCTATCCAAGATCAGGAATCATTTGACTTAGATGTTGCTGTAAAAGATAATAAAGATGATGTCAATCACTTGGATTTGAATGTGTGCACAAGGTTGGTATCTAAGTCCTCCCTCTTCCTCCTTAAGAAATAGATTTGAATAATTAAATATATATGACTACTTATGGAGAAGGAAATGGTAATCCACTCCAGTATTCTTGCCTGGAGAATTCCATGGACAGAGGAACCTGGTGGTCTACAGTCCATGGGGTCACAAAGAGTCAGACACGACTGAAGTGACTTAGCAGCAGCATATGACTATTTATATATTTAATTATATAACTATAGTTATCTAACTGTATTACTATAAGGAGTTACATTTAGCAAAGATTTCAGTTACACAATATACTTCTGATTACAAACAAGAATGCTAAGTGTATTTAAACTTTTCTCCACATGCCCAAATTATCAATATTTGCAAGTTTTTCTTGTATTTATAATAAACTTTCATAGAAAGTTTTCATAGAAAAGTTTAATGAAACTTAGGTTTAATTTATAAAAACTTTAATTGTTGTTCAGTCACTCAGTCGTGTCTGATTCTTTGTGGCCCCATGGACTGCAGCACACCAGGCTTCCCTGTCTATCACCAGCTCCCAGAGTTTGCTCAAACTCATGTCCATTGAATCAGTGGTATTGTCTAACCATCTCATCCTCTGTCGTCCCCTTCTCTTCCTGCCTTCAATTTTTCCCAGCATCAGGGTCTTTTCCAGTGAGTTGGATCTTTGCATCAGGTAGCCAAAGTATTGGAGCTTCAGCTTCAGCATCAGTCCTTCCAATGAATATTCAGGGTTGACTTCCTTTAGGATTGACTGGTTTGATCGCCTTGCTGTCCAAGGGACTCTCAAGAGTCTTCTCCAGCACCATAGTTCAAAAACATCAGGTCTTTGGCACTCAGCCTTCTTTATGTTCCAACTCTCACATCTGTACATGACTACTGGAAAAACTATAGCTTTGACTATATGGATCTTTGTTGGCAAAATGATATTGCTGCTTTAATATGCTATCTAGATTTGTCACAGCTTTTCTTCCAAGGAGCAAGCATCTTTTAATTTTGTGGCTACAGTCACCATCTGCAGTGATTTTGGAGCCCAAGAAAATAAAGTCTGCCACTGTTTCCATTCAAAAGCCTTAATGAATCATGATTAATACTCAAAAATTGATTATTTCTTTTTGTTGGTCATTTTTCCATTAACCAATTATTCTAGGTTCACATTTAACTTTTTGTGTTATGCACTTAACTCAGAACTTCATAAAAGTGCAAATTCAATGAAGAGCCTAGTTTTTTTCAGATACAGTAAAATATTTCCAATTTAGAAGATCTTTGCATTGGATATTTGGGCACTCACAGCTTCTGGGAGCATTTAATAAAGTGGCTATTAAATTTGGTCTATGTCCAGAGCATCTGAAGATCTTGTTAAGCAAAAAGTATTCTCTTCAAGACTACTGACTTCACAGATTAAGGGTCTATGAAGCCACCTTCAGCTTTCTTGCTTATTCTGATTCATACAGCAGTTTGAGAGCAACTCCTTCAGAAAGTTCTCGAATCAAGAGACTTTATAGTCTCTTCTTTGTCAATCTACTGTGGTTAAGCTTGGTGTTACTCTATTATGCACTGATCTTGACGAGCTGCTGCCTGCCCTTTTTAAATATACCATAGTGTCTGATTGGGCTTTCTTGGTGGCTCAGACAGTAAAGAATCTGCCTGCAATGCAGGAGACCCAGGTTTCATCACTGGGTCAGGAAGATCCCCTGGAGAAGGGAATGGCTACTCACTTCAGTACCCTTGCCTGGAGAATTACATGGACAGAGGAGCCTGGCGGGAGTTGACCATGGCGTTGCAAAGAGTCAGACATGACTGAACGGCTAACACTTACTATAGCATCTGATTGACCTTGGACTCTTGGTGGGCTGGATGTCACTGATGTGATACTGAACCTCCAGGTCCTCCTAAGGTCGTCTCTAGGTGTTCCTCCAGGTGGTCAATCTTCTTAGCCATTGCCTGTACCCAGTCTTCTTCATTACTGCTGCCATCCCTACTGTCTTGAGTCTCCTTGTTCCTGATTTTAGTATAAATTGCCACATGTGTTTGCCCCCTTCCTCACCTATTTGGGCATTTTGAACCAGCAGCACGGGAATATCAGAATCTCTGCGGTGGCTTCCTTTTTAGCTGAGAAAGTAGGACTCGCATTATCCTTCTCTAAGATTGAAACTGGGCTCTGTTCCAAATAACAACATCAAGTTATTATCGTTATTATTTAAACAACACCCACCTGCATTTGGGCTTCTCCAGTAGCTCAGACAGTAAAGAATCTGCCTGCAATGCGGGAGACCTGGGTTCGATCCCTGGATTGGGAAGATCCCCTGGAGGAGGGCATGGTAACCCACTCCAGTATTCTTGCCTGGAGAATCCCCGTGGACAGAGGAGCCTGGCAGGCTAATGTCCATGGTGTCAGAAAGAGTCGGACACAACTGAGTGACTAAGCACAGCACAGCATCTGCATTTATCACAAACTTACGTGCTAGGCATTGCACCATGACTTGCACATGCAACTCATTTAATCCTTAGAGTTATTCTATAAAGTTGGTGCTATTATTATCCCTGCTTTTCTCATTCACTCCTTCAGTCATTCATTCACTCAATAAATATTGGCTGAGTTTCCATTATGTAGTGTCAGGATTTGGAATATTAAAGTTAGCTAAAAAGATATAGCCTTATCTTCACAGTACTTACTATTTGAAAGAGGAGACAAAAATTAATAAACATGATTCCTGAAAACAATGTTACTGAACTCAGGTTTGGCTGCTGGCTGTTTAGAAATCAATACTCAAGAGACAGTTGCTGGTTGAAAGGAAAGATGCTTTAATAAGAAAAACTGGCAGTCTGGGGAGAAGGTGGACTCATGTCCTGAGACCAGCTCCGAAGATTCTGCTCAGTAGTAATGGTTTTTAAAGGGAAACTGGGAAAACAGTCTGTCCGTCATTGAGATGGGAGTTGGAGCCATCACCACCTTGCCCTGCATGCAGGCTTGTCTACTTCTTATGATCTTCCTCTAGATGCTGTCTTGTTCATATAGTTTGTTCATGAGATTACTTAAAGGGGAAGCTAGGAAAGAGATCTGGTCATCTGTTAATTATTTATTCTTCATTTGTACTCCTTTGATCTATGGAAAGAACCAACAGGCTAGGCAAGATACTGTGTGATCAAAAGATTTGAGAAGTGTGCTTGGCCAGAGGTGAGCAGAATATGGGGGGGCCTGGTTTAAGGTTAGTTACAATGCAGCTTTGCTAAAATGACAAGACAAGAGCTTTCCTGAGGAGGGCGGTTTCCTGCAAAGAGCTGCTTAGAGCAAATCAATAAAATTCTCGTTTTGAAAAGGGCAAATGTTTCTTATGGGGCCGTGAGATGGATTTTACCTCTTAGGGAGGTCAGGTGGAGACACAGAAGAGGAAAATAAAGTGAAACTGAGATTCAGACCATGATGGGGCTTCACTATAAGGGGCTCATGTAAAAATGCACAATTCCAAATCTTATTCCAGCAGCAGGAGTCAGATGGGCAATAAACTTTGCTATGTAGAGGACATCTATATCTTTTTGTGTGTGTGTGGAGGATCTGGAGAAGGTGTTTTAATCAGGGTTGGGGGCTTTATAAAAAGGATCTAGACTCTGCAACTAGTTTTCTGAGAAAAATCTGCTATGAGATACAAATAGCATTCTAAATGAATTCATTCAGTGACACTTTATAAAAAGAAAAACTGGTGTTTCAGGCTCTTTATTCTCGTTAGTAAGGTCCAAGCTCTTACTCACCTCAGACAGGGTTTCTCTGTGGCATGGCAATTTAACAAGTTCTACCCCTGGCTGGTGGAAAGACCAGGTCAGCTAAGGCACTTCTGATGATACACTGCAGTCATCGAATCTAGGCAGGTTGGCTGTTTTTCTCATCTCTAAAACCCTTCCAATTTTAATGCCCATATTGGTTTTCAGCAGCATCTCTTCTTGAGCACATTACCAGCAGATGGTTTCGACTGTCTGGGGTTGCCAGCCAGCCACAGTCAGCACTTGTACTGTATGGCTTTTCAATCAGTCATGTTTGGCAGGCATCAGTTTGCTGCTTGGAAAAGTGAGATTTTCTACTGGTCCTTCTTGCTTTTGCCATTTAAAGGACAACAGGAACTTAACTGAATGATGCTGAGACCTCCATCTTGGAGACAAACTCCTTTCCATAATGACACTGGGCTCCTTCAGATCCAAACTAAAAGCTCTTGCCACCTAGTCTTTTTTAGAAAAATATTTATTTTAAAGGAGACAAAATGTTGTTGGTGCCTAGATGCTTTGATGCTCACAATGTGTACAGCAGGGTTAGAAAAGAAGCCGTGTAATAAAACTTTCCCAGGCTTGTCATTCTCCCAAGGTGACCAAAGAAAATACAACATTTGCTCCACGTATGTGGGAGAAGAAAGGGAAGGACCTTCCCTACTGGTCTTCTTTTTCTAAAACCAGATGAAGAACAGGTTGTTGAAGACTTGGCTGCCATCTCCCGCTAACTGGTCAAGTGATGCCTCTTTTTCAGTTCCTAGCCTTGAGCCGGAGAACTTAGTACCGTCAACTTTTGAGAAAATGAAAAATGCAATGCAATTTGGAATCAACCACTGGAAAACAGAGTTGCCTGCTGAAGGGGCAAAGGTTGCCCTCATTACAGCCCAGGCACCTAAGCCAGCGGCGTTGTAGGCATTTCATGCTGGCTGACAAGTGGACCCACTGTTCTCTTCCTCATGTGGTTGAAAGTTATAGGAATTTCAGACCTGTAAAGAAAGGGTCACCTTTTTACAGTTTTCTACAGTAACTTACTTCAACGAAACAGTAAATATCTGGAGTAACACTTGGCAGTTTAAATTTCTATATGCAGATAGTTTGCCAACAGCTGTAGGTTTTTCCTAAAGGGTTTCTGTCTCTCCTGTCACCCTTGATTTAGGTTTCTGGGACCAGCCAGAAGCGGCATGGCCCTTATGGAAGTCAGCCTGCTCAGCGGTTTTACTGTGTCCTCAGACGCCATTCCCCTGAGCGATACTGTGAGAAAAGTCGAACACGACCATGGGAAGCTCAGCCTCTACTTAGACTCTGTAAGTACTGACGCCCGAGTTTCCCCTCGGCAACCACTGATGACACCACTCTTTCCTGTGCTCAGAAGTGCGTTCACCTCCCGCGTTTCCTTGACGTCGTCATTGTGGCGTTTGGCGCCCCGAGTGCCTTTCACATGGCAGCCATCTGTTGTCAACACTAACAAGACATTATTATAAAATTGGTTTAAAGAGAATTACTATTAATGGTGAGCCTAATGGAAGTCTTGATAATGGAATTATTATTTCATACGAGATATTCAACACAGAAATTGTTGTGACGTATTTTCCGAAATATAGTCCAGATCTCAAATAGAGAACTCCTGTGCTTCAAGGAATTGCTGAACATGTTTATTTAAATGCTGCTGATGGTGAAAGCTTTAATTACATGTTTTAAAATGCTCATGAGGGACGTCCCTGCTGGTCCAGTGGTTAAGAATCCTGCTGCCAATGCAAGGGACCTGGGTTCCGTCCCTGGTCTGGGAACTAGGATCCCACATGCCGTGAGGCAATATGTGCCACAGTTCCTGAGCCCACGTTCTAGAGCCCATAAGCTGCAACTGGAGAGAAACCTGAGCTCCCGGAGTTGGTGGTCTGCGACAAGAAAAGCCACTGCAATGAGAAGCCTGCATAGCACAGCTAGAGAGTAGCCCCCGCTTGCCACGACTCGAGAAAGCCCCAGGTAGCAGTGAAGACCCTGCACAGGGTGCGTTCATGAGAGAAAAAGCGTTTAATACATCCCAAAGGGGTTAACATTCCTGCACTGCAAAGTCAGCTGCTTAAATCATAGAATATTCTCAGAGGTTTGGTCTTTACACTAAGTTATTATATAATGTAATTACATCATATAATTTTCATGTACTGTTCCCATTGCTGTATGAAAATTACTGATTCAGGAATAAGGTGCATAAAATATTGTGAGAAAGATTAGTATGGAATTCAAGACTCGTTATGTCTCAAAACTGCTGGCATGTAAGTGTATTCTTCTGACATCTATATGAAATTTATATGTGGAGTTGAAATTGAGTTTTAAGTGTTCTTAGGGTTTCATGTTACAAGGCGGGAATATGTATGTTTCTTATTCCAGTTTTGCAAAGTGTGAATCAGAATTATATTGCTTTAGCAGTGACTCTACTTTTAAAAAGCTAGTTCCTAAATATTCTCCTTGTTTTAAGACTTCAAAAACCACTTTGGTTAATCAGCTGTTAAAATGAATTCAAAGTCTCTAGATTCTTTTACTGTCCAGTAATTTTAATATCTTAAATACTGCTTGACAGTCATGGGCCTAATTTAGGGTTTGAAAAATGCATTTAATGTTTCTATATTTAATAATGTAATTAGGTTTGGAGTTTGTCCTGTGTCTCTGATGTTCTTGTTAATGGCTGTTTTTAGTGTCCATTACATTTTGACTGATTAATTTGACTTTTTGCTTCCTGCTAATTGGTATGTAATGAAATGTTTGAAGGAATTTATTAATTTCAGATTCCTTAACCAGTATTGTTTGCCAGATTGGCATTAAATACCTTTCCTGGAGGCAAAGAGGCTGGCCTTTTGTACCCCATCTTGGTCAGTTACTGGTTGGGAACTGCTCTCCCCTGACTCTGAGGTTACTTCACTTCTTGGATGAGGTGGCTCCCGTGAGCTGAGGGTGATTCTCCAGAGAAGGGGACTGGGGTGAGTCAGTAGCAGCAACCGGGATGGAGTGCAAGCCTGAGAGAAGGGTTTCGCTGAAGCACCAAGGCCAGGGGCATGCACCTTGGGCTCCTGCATCCTTATCCATTCTAATTCTCAGGATCTGTTTTGGTAAAATGGAAGTAAGAACCATACTGATCATGCAGAGATTGTTTTACAAAATAAATGATGTGATTTATGTACAGTGCTTACCACAGTACTGGGTGTGTAGAAATGCTGCCTAAATGTTAATTTCTATAACTGTTTGATAAATGATAAGAGAAAGAAATGTCTTTTATCATGAGCACAGCCTGCCATCCCTTTAAAAGTCTTCTGTATTTTTCAAGGTAAATGAAACCCAGTTTTGTGTTGATATTCCTGCTGTGAGAAGCTTTAGAGTGTCAAATACACAAGATGCTTCAGTGTCCATAGTGGACTACTATGAACCAAGTAAGTGTGTTCTGGAGTTCCCAGTACTTTAGGAGTTAAGCCAGGCTTTCATTCATTCAAAGTGGCCGTCTATTGAATTAGTTTTGTGGGGGAGGGTGTAGTTGGGGGTAGTGAAGGAGGTGGTGCAGCAGGAGGTGAGCTTTCCATTTAAATGAAGACAACTGATAATTTACAAAATATAATCACAAGATAGTATTTTGCATATATTAAAATGATGTTTTTGCTCATAATATTTAAGGTTTTCAACTCACAGTTAAAATTAAAAAAAAGCAACAACTACAAAACGGACACAGAGAGTCCAGTTATGTTTTGTTTCCAAGGTTCTTCTCTTGTTCCAAGCACCCACTCCATCTGGTTCTGGTTTTAAAACAAGACTTCTTCAGGAGAGAACATGAACAGCATCCATGTTGGCAAACCTCAGTGGGATTTAGCTGTTTCTTCACTAAGGGAGTCTTGTTTTGCTAAAATGTATTTATTATAACAGATTTTTTTTTATCATTTCAAGAAAAATATAGTCTGAAAAATACCTTGAGCTGCTTTGATTTTACTGGTAACTTTTACTTTATAAAATATTAGAAATTTATTATGTGAAAGTAGAGATCTGGTTTGGAGGTCATCTAAGCTGATCAGGACAAGTCTCTGTTCAGTCAGGGAGTGATTTTTCGCCAGTGTGAGACCTGCAGGCTAACATTTCTGCTTGTAATCACATTCGTCCTGAATGAGCACTCCTAGCGGCTCAGAATCATCAGAATGCATGAGAATCGTGAACATTTTCATGTCCCAGGCAGCTGTAGATAATTACACTTTAGAGTATGAGGACCTGTTCGCATGGTTGGAGTCTGCAGGGTATTCAAGAGGTAGCACCACCTTGCTCTCCTTCTAAGTCAACAAGCCAGTTCCTCTCTTCTTTTGCTTCCTATTGGAGTTGGGGTAGAGCATTCACCCAGTTCTTGTGGGACATTAATGGGACAAACTGATGCAGCTTTTTTTTTTTTTTGTCTGATGAAAGGATGAAAGACTCAGGTAGAGACTCAGTGACAAAATAACAAATTTATCCAAATTTGTTATTTAATCTAGTTGAAAGATTCTCCAACTGATATTTCTCAGGTGTATGGAGAATATTTTAAACATTTAAGAAGCAAAAAAGATTCAGTCTCCATAAAGTTTTTTTTTTTTGTGGAAAATGACTTATGTATTGGGGGGCATTTAAAATGACAACATGGGTAAGATCACGATAATAAAACCCATTTTGAAAAACTCTAGAGTCAGAAAGCATATTTATAATATTTAAAACAAAGCCATGAAGGAATTTGAAAATAGTTTCTTAAAAACTGTAAAAATTAAAATCATTTATGCCTTATAGTAAGTTTATTATAATGCTATTGGTGCTTTATATAGTTTTTAAAATATTAGCTTGTACTATAAAATGTACTCAAGTTCAGTAGTTTTAGAGACTATGTGCTTAACATTTTAAGACGCTGGAACAAGGTGTCCCATAGAGTTCTTTTCACATTTTTGCCTTTTAAAATAAAGTCCACGTAAATCTTTCTCTTCAGTAGTTCTAAGGATTAGAACTTTACTTGAAGGCATAGAAAATACCGTCCAAAAATGAAGTCTCAAGGAGGCTAAAACACCCTCAAGGTACAGCCTTTCCCTTTCCAGGAAGGGTTTCAGGTTGCGCTTGACCTGAGCCTTGCAGCTGGGGTCTGTTTTTTCCTCTTTTAATGCCGGCCAGCTGCTGGTGGTACAGAAATTGCACTTGAAAGCACTGTTTCTCTCTTGGACTTGCTTCGCAGTTTGGGCTCCTGGCAGTTTTGCTGTTTTTCTTGTAAAGAAAAATAAGATTATGTGAAGAATGGAAAACTCAGAAAAGTGTATCGATAGGCTCTTAAGTTTTGGCAGAGTACCCGTTTCCAAACGCAGGAGGCATCTAAAGCGACGTCTGCCTCTTTGAACAGGGCGGCGAGCCGTGAGAAGCTACAACTCCAGGGCGCAGCTGACCTCCTGTGACCTCTGCGGGGACACGCTAGCCTGCGGCCCCTGCGCCCGCGCGGCCCCGGCCCGCCTCCCGCGCCTGGCCGCCCGCCTCCTCCTCCTCTGCCCCGCGCTTCTGCTCTCCTTGCAGCCTTGGCCGTGATTTGCTTCCTGAAGACTCCATGAAACACTTGCATTTCCAAAAGCCACACGTGACTGTCTTGTCGTCATAATCAGATATTACCTCGGTTTGGAAAATAAATGTTTTTCTCTTTATGAGTTGGGAGGCGGGTAGAAGTGGGGGAGATGTATTAATAACAACAGGTCCTTGTATGTGCAGCTGCGTAGATCTTTTCTTTCCCCCCTGACTTCTGTGTGGAACAAAAAAATAAGAATTATTGCAGTTGTATTCTTTTATTTTCCCCTCTTAAAATCTTTTAGGATTTTTTTTGGAGGTGGTGTTTTCTCCAGAATAAATGCATTATTTTAGATGATTCTTTTCATTTTTTAGAAGAAGTGAGTGAGCCTGGATTCTTAAGCACTGCTGTATGTCAGTCTCTGCTTTAGTAGTAGCCGTGAAAAGGCCCAAGGGAAGAGCTTGTTCTGTGCCTTCCATATCCACCCCAAACCCCTGCCCACCCCACCCATCCCAGCCACCTCAGTGCTGTGCTGAGCTGTGCTAAGTCGCTTCAGTCCTGTCCAACTCTTTTTGATCCTATGAACCTGCCAGGCTCCTCTGTCCATGGGATTCTCCAGGCAAGATTACTGGAGGAGGTTGCCATGCCCTCCTCCAGGGGATCTTCCCGGCCCAGGGATTGAACCCACGTCTCCTTCATTGGCAGGCAGGTTCTTTCCCACTAGTGACCCCCTGGAAACCCCATGGTCTCTACATCTTTCTTGATCAGATATAGTGTTTTTCTTTAGGATGGAGGTGGTGATTTTTTTTTTTTTTTTAAGGAAAATGATGTTGTTCCACTCCAGATGTAGTTGCATACCCGATCCCTTGCTTTTCGCCTGTTTTCCCTCTGGAGGGAAGCAGAGAGACTGGGCTTTGCTGTGCTGCCCATGGCTCAGAGGATGGGGTCACTGGGAAGTGATCAGAGGAGCCCTGGGTGATGTTCTCTGTGAACCCAGCCCCACATGCAGGATTGTTCAGGCTGAGGGTCAGAGAGCATTGCCACATGTGCCTTATGGGACTTGGACAAGAAGATCCTAGACCAGGAGACACATGTGACAACTCATGGGGGATGCTCAGTTGGAAACTGAAAGTGTTAGTCACTCAGTCATGTCTGACTCTTTACGACCCCGTGGACTGTAGCCCACCAGGCACCTCTGTCCATGGCATTCTCCCCAAGATTGCTGGAGTGGGTAGCCATTCCCTTCTCCCAGGGGTTTTCCCAACCGAGGGCTTGAACCCAGGTCTCCTGCATTGTAGGAGGATTCTTTACCATCTGAGCCACCAGGGGGACACAACCGAATCCTGAACGAGATGCAGCAGACTGACCTCCCTGTGGTCTGGGAAAGAAGCTGGGGTTTGATGGGGGTCAGAGAGGGGTGAAGCACTGTACAGTGTTGGCCAGGGTCCTGTGGAACCTTCTAGATTCAGGTGTCTGAGCGTCAGACCACCAGCTGTCCACTGACATCTAATGCTTGCTCTGAACCTTACAGAAGATTCTTGAATTTTGAGCATCTGGCTCATTGGTTACCTGGTATTCAGAAGGATAATACTCATTTATGTGAGTGAAGTTTTAAAGATTCCTTTCTTCTCCTTTTTCTGTTTGTCTTCTTTTGTCACCTCTTTCTTTTTTCATTCTTCCTTTCCCTCCCTTCTTTCTTTCTTCTTTCCTATTGAAAAATATTGAAATATTTTAGATACATCAAAAAATGTAAAGATCTTTTACTAAATTCAAAAAGTGGTTTAATTTTACTCCTGAACTCAGCATTTATCTCAAGGGGATGTAGAAATGTAATTGTCATGGGCTCCAAAGAAGCTGCGTTATACTATTTTCAGCTGTTTAAAAATAAATCCAAAATTAAAATATACAAATAATATATTTTAAAGTGAATTTTGAAAAGAATATTTTTATTTTAGTGAATTTAAAGAAATTACAGTGGAGTGGATATTCATGGGTTGCTTATGGATATTTTGGACACAAAGGTAGGAATTACTAATATTCAGGCTTTTAAAGCTTAAATCCTGAATGTAGAAAATAGGTCCTTAGAGGATGGTCTATGGAGAGAAAGCAGTTAAAAAACAAATATATAATTTTCTTGTATATACTTTCAAGTGGGGAAAAGTTTTTAGTTGTGTTACCCCTTTGAAACAGTCTGATCCGAAAAAGACGCTTGGGTTTGGGCTTTCCTGTGTGGGATTTTTGGCTTTTATATGTTAGGACTTCTTTGGAGGTGAAAGTATCTTAAAATGAACTTGGAGGAGGATATTGGCAAAGGATCCCGCTTCCCCTACCCCGCTGCCCAGAGAAACTCAGACTACCCATCAATAGCTTTCGATTCTGTATATACTGTTCATTCCAGACTTCAAGTATAGAATCTTAGGAAACACAAGAATGGAAAGCCGTTGAAAGATGGTGTACATTTTAAAAAATGTATTTCCTCATTTAAAAACTAGAGATCTGATTTTTTTTTTGTGAATTATTTCAGAGTTTTGGGTTAAACACTTACCTTGTAACTAATATTTTAATGTATTAAAAATACATTACAGATGTATTAAAACGTATTGAAGGTGAGGAGGAGGATGGGATTGAGGAGGAAGAGCAGGAGGGGACGCAGTGGGGCGGGGTGGTCCATGGTTGGAGGTGCGCGGGCAGAGGGGATGCCTGCGTCTTCCTCCATCACGCCGCTGGGAGGCAGCCTCTGTGACAGCGGTGGGCTGGGATGAAGAGGGTCCAAAAAAGCCACAGGCATCTGGGTTAAAGGAGACCAGTAGTAGCAGGAATCGACATTATTAACTCTTCTTCACATGCTATGGGTAACAATTAGAAACCTTGTTGTGTCTTTTACTTTCCTGATGGTGAAACTTCTCCAGTGCCCTCAATTTCACTTACTGCTACAAATCTGAAGTCTCTCCTTCTTTCCTGCCGAGTGGGAACCTCATTATTAAGACACCAGCATATGTTGCTTCCAGTTTTGACTGGCCAGAGGTTCCAGACGTGGAATGTTGGGAATAACTAGTAGCCACATAAATTCAAGGACAGATCAACACTATTATATTTGGTTTCAACACGTTACTGTCTTCAGTTATAATTCTAAAAAAGTAATTAAAACCCATTAAAATATGTTGGGTCAATGAAAAAATTCCTATTATTGTATTGTCCTATTATACTTTAGTAAGATTTTAAAAATACTCTAACAATAACTTTGGTTTAGTATTTTGGTTATATTATAATCTGTGGAACATTGTGTTAAAATCCAGATATATGCTTATTGCCTAACAGTTTGTTGCTTACATATGCAATGCTATATTCTACATGTGGGAATTTTCAGAGTTGTACATAGCGTAATTCTCCCTGTTTCCATTTTTTGAGCCTGAGTGTAATATTTTTTTTAAAAAGGCTATATTTAACCATAATTTCTTTTTATGTTAAATTTAGTTACAAATATTCTGGCAACAGAATGCTAGTAATCTTTATTTTGATTATTTTGATCCAATTCAGTTATTCTGATATCATTCATTTTGATGTCATTCAACGTTTCTGACCATCCAGTTTTAAAAATTGGAGCTATGATTTTTCTTTATCATTCTTTAAAGGAGCCATTTTATTAGTCTTCCAGCATGTAATCTGGAGTTTTTCATAACAACCTCATTTCTAATTTGCTTTATTGGAGTTTAATATTGATTTTTATAAAAATATGTTGTAAATAGCTCCCTGACAAGGTTCTTTATCATAAAGACAGTACTTACTTGGAGTTCGTCAAGTAGCTCCCATGGGTCCTGGTGCCATTACTTTTTCTTGGGTGCATCATTTTCTTGCATTTTGTAAATTTGAGACAGTTAGTGGACTGACTCTTGGAGAAGCTTTAGAACCTTATATACCCTAAGTATATAAGTATATATACACTTATATACCCTAAAAGGCTTCTATTAGAAGAATATTCTATTTTTTGTTTGTTTTCAAATTCCAGTAAAGCATAGCACATTTTAGAACTTAAAAATTTCCTGTCATCTACTCAATTGATATTCATGTTAATATTAAATATCTTAAGTTGTGTTGGGAGTAATTTGAGGTACAATTATTTTTATCACTACTTTCTTCAGGAAACTAAGCAATAAATATACATTTTTAATAAATATATCAGTTGTGGGTAGGCTTGTTTCAAAACTATTTCTAGACATTGAATTGTGTTTCCATGTGCCTCATCATAAGAGTGCCACATGCATCATTCCATAAAATGTTGCCATTTCATTTCAATAGTTATAATACAGGAAAATAGACATTTCCTGGGTGTTTTCTGAGTTTCTCACTTCACAGGACACGTACACATTGGTATGTGTGTGTCTTTGTAATAAAGATGATATTGGTACATATTTAAGAAAAATTCTGTATCATGAGACTATGATTTACCTCTCTTCTGTCAGGGTATTGAATCAGTGGTAGAGCATAGTTCCATGTTCCACTTATAGATCTTTAAGATTTATCTTTGATATAGTTAATAGAATGTGGCTGTATTCTGGTCCCTCAAACCTTTATGTTTTGGATTTCTACTGAGGTGCAGTTGATGTGGTAGAGTCAATTTCTTTTGTACACAGTAGGCTTTATAAAATTTTATTCACAAATCTATTTTAAGACCTTGTTGGCATATAAGAAGGATACTATTGAAATAAAACATTTTCACAGAAACTAAAGCTTTATATATTGAACCAGGGTGATTCTGAAAGCTTAAATTTTAAATATTAGAGTATTGTTATATTGTTAAATGTACTTGATTATGTATTCAATAGAAAATAATGTTTTATCAATAAAAATAAAAATTTCCATAGATTTATTACCATGCTGTTTTTATTTTGTATCATATGTATAGCACATCTCTTTTACCAAAACCTATTTAATGAAGAGGAATGGGATGTCTGAGAGTAGATTTGAGGGGTGATTATTGTGTTAGATTTTGACATAATGAAAGGAGAGAAACTTGGCCACCAGTAGCCTTCACTTCCCTCCTCATTCTTTGCACTTGTTGGAGTGGGATGTGTGAAGAGGTAAGTGATATACAAGTGAAAGATGTGAGGTGAGGACTCACTTAGCTTCTGGAAATTATGCAGAAATACAGAATGCACGGACTTCCCAGATGACACTAGTGGTAAAGAATCTGCCTACAAATGTAGGAGACATGAGAGATGCAGTTTTGATCCCTAGTTTGGGAAGATCCCTTGGAGTAGTAAATGGCAACCGGCTTCAGTGTTCTTGCTTGGGAAATCCCATGGACAGAGGAGCCTGGTGGGCTACAGTCCATGGGCCACAGAGTCGAACACGGC